TACTTCCACAGTGATTTATTGTGGCAAAAAAGGAAACGTAAATTTTTTGAAATATCAGATTCAGTCAAAGATATGGATACGGCTACGAGAGATATGGCTTGGATAAGCAGCTCCCAGGCTTGACACTCATAGAAAGAGTGATAGAATGTTGAATGTGTAATTCGTTATTGAATGCTTGTATCGTCGTCTCCCCGGCGTACGTTGGGCGGAGCTTTTGCGGACATTTCAACACGTTGGTGAACTTGTTAAGCCTCTACTTTGAAGCATGATTCTTTGTACTCTCTAACCTGCCACGTTTATATGCTGTTGTCACACGTGGCAGGGTTGGTAGCGAGAGATCACAAAAGCAATGCCTCGTAGTAGAGGGTTAACAAGTTTACCAACGTGTTGAAATGTCCGCAAAAGCTCCGCCCAACGTACACCGGGGAGACGAATACCAATACTACTTCTCTGCCGCAATCTGAAAGCCCTTATCAAAGATGTCTAGCAAACCCACCCATTGGTGGAGCATCAACGGCTAAGCGATGTGAGTAGAAGAAAAGACGTCACCGTGCATTTCATCCTGATTTCCAAGTGATTTGTATGATTGTTTACAGCCTCAGCTATCACCATCATACTTCTATCCTATCAGTGATGTTCATATGCATACAGTCTCATCGATTTTCAAGTCTACTCTTAAGAACACAGAAAGCTTTAACCCTTGCAGGGAAAATGAGATAAGAGGAAATATTGCCTTTTCTATGAAAATCAGGCAGTCAATTGTTCTCGGAGCATAAAACGGAAGAAAATTAGGTGCCGATCTCTTTTGTCAATATTGAGATATCATGTAAGAAACAGAATAATGTACTGGTTTTGCTTTAAGCGCGATAGCTCATACTCTCATCGTTTTCTTCCTAAGACAATCTCGGGGACAAGATGTCAGTGTAGATCATCTAGCTTGATTGCCAATAATGAAGCAAAATAGATTCAGAAAGAACTCGATCTATCTGCTTTAATCCTATACCAGTGCGTCACCTCTGCTTTGCAGAAGCTCGCACTGACCCTACTTTCTGCATGCCTTACTCATTCCTGCATAATAATGACATTGAAACTCACCGCGCTATGCAGGCTATCACGAATGATTTGTAAACAATTACTCATTCCGATAGCTTTTTTGTGTGAGATCGGTATTTTCGCGAGGAGGAAACTTTTCCGAGAAAAATGAATGCAAATTTAAACCGGTTATTTGGACTTTCTATGGTTTGTTAGTCACTATAACGACGATGATCAACGTGGGCTATATTTCTGTGCAAAAATCTTCTCAAACGATCAAATAAAATCTTGGCACATTGAACATTTACGCAACCAATTTTTTTCTGCGCCGTTTTCGTAAAGTAATCAACTTTGAATCACTTTGTTGGGCTAAGTTCATGGCTTGCACATTAACTTGTTAATCATGTACATGACTTTGCAAAAAGTGGTGTTACAGGCCCAATTTTGTTGGCCAGAAGCCAAGGTGATCCGACTGAAGCGCAGTTTTTGCGGGATCCACTCAACGAATCCGCTCGTGCTTTTGTATAGCGGACTTTCATGCTGCTAGCATGCGCCGTACAAAATTTGGGCTCAAGAGGTTGGGTGGAACTCGCTCTACGAATTTCGTAACCGACAGACACAAGCGCCCACACACAAAAACACGTAAACAACCCTTAGCCCGTTATTATAAGTCATGATAGAAAACACACACTGTCGAAAAACAATGAGTATAAGACATTTTTTTGAGGATGTGTTCCCATGTTTTCAGTTGTCACTTTATCTTGATAACCAGTGCGTCACCTCTGCTTCGCATAGGCTCGCACTGGCTCTACTATCCACATCCTTCCTCGTAGTCGCAAAATGATGGCTTTATAACTTGCCTCGCGATGCCGATCATCACGAATGAAATGTAGACAACTACTCATTCCAAAAGTTTTTCATGTAAGATCGGTGATTTTGAAAGGACGGAAGTATTTTCCAAAAGATTAAATGCGAATTTGAATCAGGTACTGGGGTTATAATGGCTTGATAGTCGCCATAAAGATGATGGCAACCGTGAGTTACATCTCTGAGCAAAAATTTTCTCACATTCCCAGGTAAAACCTTGACAAATCAATCATCTACGCAATTATTCCTTTTTAGCGCCGATCTTGCATGAGAGTAAACTTTTTGCTTACTTTTCGGGCTGGAGTCCATGATTTGCGGATTTACTTGCTAAACGAAACCATGACCTTGAAAAAAGTACATTTACAGGCCCATTTTGGCGCACGAAATGTTGCGTGGATCCGTTTGGCGGACTATTTCACAGGTTCCAGTAGTCGGATCGGCGTGTGCTTTTGCGCATTTTACCTACATGCTGACAGGGTGCTACTATCAAAATTATAGCTCAAGACCTTTGCTGGAACTCGCTCTACGAATTTCGTGACAGACAGAGATTCACACACACACAAACGTAAACAACCCCTAGCCCGTTATTATAAGTTACTAGCTGGTGGCCCCGGTCTTACCCGAGACTTCAAGTTAAGTCAACAGAACTTGTAAACTTACGCCTCTAAATTTCTCCTAACATGCGCATAAAGCGCTTTCAGACTAATTGCCGCACCCTACCAACTTTAAGACTGAAATGGACTTTACCGCCCCTGCTTACATGCTTGTATGTAAAAATGATCGGTTGCCATGATGGCCCTTCATTTTCTTAGGTTTGAGTAAACAAATCAATAAATCGATAGAATGGCCCGGCGAATCGCCGAGGAAAGTAGCTCTAAACCACCGCCGGGGTCGATGATATACGTGTGCAAAGTTTCAGCCGGATCGGTTCAGTGGCGCGCGTTTCTATAACGAACGAACAACTAAACGAACATCCTCACAGACATTGAGTTTTATATACAGGGTGTCCCAAAAGTCTTTAAGCCTAGTATTTCCTCCGCTGAAAATGTACGAAGCAACATAGACGCATGAAATTCAACAGGTAATTAGCGAAGAACCTACAAATCAACATGATACACTCAGATTCTGGAAAACCCTCCTTTGGCCTTCACACAGGCTCTCAGACGTTAGCGGAATGCATGCACCATGGCAGCAAGGTAGTTGACATCGAGATTGTCTCACACCTTCTGAAGCAAGCAATCCAGACTCTCCAAAATTAAGCATGGAATAGAGCAAGCCTTGCTGTCCATGACTGATCACAAAGAAAAGTCAAGTGCCTCTTAATCCGGCTATTGAAGGCACGTAAATCCGAGAAGCATACCTGTGAGATTTGACAAAAGTGTCAAAATGTAGCATTCAAGTGCGTGAGAACACCAAGAAAACAGCAATTATGGCGTACCGGGAGTGACTTTAAAATGGTATTTCAGTAGGAAATGCAGGGCTTACAGCTAGAATTAGTGACTCAAACTGATTCGGTGTTGGAGTTTTCAGCTTTCCCAGGTTTTTGTTTCCAAGAACGTTTTCTTCTTATTGGCACGGCACAACTTCAGTGTTTGCATCCTAATCCTACTCTAATGAACGAAGGCTATCGATTGGTTTTGCACTGCAAATGTAGAGTGAACCTAGCTCTACAATAAGCAGTTTAGAAGTCCACAAGAGCTCCAAAGGCGAAAGAGCTGTAAATATTTAAATAGGGGGTACGTTTGCTTCGGCTTGCCTTTACTATTGCAGTACTGTTTGCTTCAAGAAGTATATCTCGAGAATGTACAATGCAAACGGTATGATTTTCTTGAAGAATACTGGAAACTAGACGAAGAACTCAAATGCAAAATCTGGCTGAAAAGCGAGGAATACTAACAAAGTTACTACGTTGAAAAGTTAGGCTTAAGGACTTTTGGGACACCCTGTATATATAGTTGATACGAAAGAAATCATGCAGGCTGCCCAACAACAGTCAAAAGTATTGTTTCCTTTTTTCTTTGAAGATTGCAGCGGTCCTTTGACAAAAATAATGTGAAGGCAGTTTTGAACGAAAGCTATTGTCGATGTAGGATGCGTACGAAAACGCGCAAGGCTTTTATAATAAAAAAAGGCTGATGCGTTCGCATCCGCATTGCCAAATAATGCCACCCCCTTAGAAAAATCATGTTTTTATGTTATTTCATATACAGTGCCGCCACATGAAGGATCAGCATTGATGGAAGGGCAGAAATGCGCGGTGCAAGGTTACCATTTTTGTGGCGCGCCCCGAATCGGAGAAGACCACGTTAGTTATCTCTTGCATTTTTACTAACAAAGGAAGGGTACTTGATGATCGTGACCATTCGTTTTCAATCACATATCACTACATCTCAATCTCAACACTGATTACAAATCTGCTTTCGCTATCTGCTATGCGACTGCATGAAATAAGTTACGAATTCTTTCCAAAAATTTTTGCACATCAACGCACGTCATGATTACTGATATCCAAATTTTTTGGGGATAAACGCATTTGGGACAGGTTCATTTAAGGCATTCTAGCTTAACAAATGCACTTTCGAAACAAGATTAAGCGATGTTCATAGTTTTGCTCAAATGATATAGTACAAATTCTTATGAAAAAACATTCACGACTTATTTCAGACAATCGCTTACTATATGGCGAAGTAGGTTTGAAATCAGCGTTTTAAGACGCATCTAGAAATATGTGTCTTCTCAAAGCTCACAGTCACCAAGTATCCCTCCCTGTAACTTGTTTCGTTGTTTGGAATAGATTTATTTTAATACCAGTGCGTTACCTCTGCTTCGCAGAGGCACGCACTGGCCGTTTTTAAAAGATGAAAACTTACGTGGAGGTGCATCATTCCCAGTCCAGTAAGCAATCCCAGATGAAAATGAACCTCCCTTGTCGCTACTCTCACATACTTCAGAGCAATGTAAATCATTCCTTACTATATTTTCGTAACGGACAACCTCCACAGAGCCTCAAATTAAGCGGCTTATTATGAGTCATGATGATATCGATAACTTATCTCTATATAAACCTCAGTCAGGAAGGTAAGTTTATTTTCAACTGAAAAATTACTAGCCACTAATACTACACGATGGAACCTCGTCTTGCTGCAGGACGTCAAGCAACTGAACAGCGTTTGGATGCAAATCTTTCAAAAGCCAGCAGCAAAACTACTGAAGGCGCTGTTGCACTCGCGGATCAACTTGTCCTCGAATTTCTCTTTATGGAATTGACTGAGCCTCAAGCCGCTCAGATGGCGAAAACTGCCGGTGATGGGTAAGCTGGGTTGACCCACCGCCTGCCGACTCACCATCATGTTTTAGAGCGCAACTTCAGTTTATCAGCGCTATGTTTGACCGCAATCCAGTTTTGGAACAATTGGCTGCAGTGAGTGAAGCTTTATCTCAGTTCTTTTCCGTGGAAATAAATGTGGAACCAATTAATAAAACTCAGAATCTAATGCGACACATAATGATGTGCAAATTATCCGCCCAGCATATTACTCTGTTAATCCTAGCATCAACCTGAATCCGCATGACTAATATATCTATGCTACACGCACAATTGCAAGTCTTGCTCAACATTCTCTGTAAGCAACTTCTACGACATTGTTATTTGTTGTCGCTAGAATGCTCACAGGAATCACCTGCAAGCTGTTCCAAATATTCTACAAACTCGTTTCCTCACACGGTTAGGGGAAGGAAAGCCGCCAGTTTGCGCCGCCTTTCGCGCCAACTGGTCCTTTGGCAATGCGGTTGCATGCCCTTCCAGGACCAATAGTACGCGTAGGGGCATAAAGACTGGGTTCATTTTATTCCCATGTTCCGGAAAAGCTCCCGCACAGTTCCCTCACTGTGCTGGAACTGTTCTGGAACTGGTTGCATGCGCTGCATCCGCCCCGCGTTTTGTGCGACGGGCGTTGGAGAATTTTAACCGTTTTCAATAGATTTCTTCCAGATTTCTCTCATTTTGACCTTATTCCTCCACCTCGCCTTCCTTTTTGATCAGCAGGACTTCGAACTCGAAGCAGAGTAGAAAAAAAAACGGAGAAGCAACGATATGGAAAAAGGAAAGGACCTAAGAACGCCCAAAAGTGAAACTCATCAGTAAACAACAGAAAAGTCCCAATCTATGCATCAGAATTGCTCGCAGCCCTAATTCATGGCAGATGGCTGTGGAAACTACGCAGCAGCTTCCTCAAACAAATAGTATAGATCTGAGTAGAAACAAAGCGAAAAAAATTGAAGAGCACAAGAACACACATTTTGCCGCATACGCGAAGAAGAAGAGTGCCCATTTTTCAACTCCGCCTCAGTTCGAAATTTTGCTGATTAGAAAGAGAAGCGAGGTAGAACAATATGCCAAAGTGAGAGAAATCTGGAAAAAAATTGTTGTAAACGGTCAAAATCCTCCAACTCCCGCCGTCCAAAACGCGAGCGGGGCGGCTGCAGCGCATGCAGCACAATTCCAGAACATTCCAGCACAGTGTGGGAACTGTGCGGGAACAGTTCTGGAAAATGGGAATCAGTATGAATCCAGAAAAATTCGCGGCCTTCCTTCCCGTACAGCGCTAGAGTTTGTGCTCGGGGACGTCTTGCTTCAAATGATTTGACATAAAGTTTTTAGCGCTCACCTGCCTTTCTTACAGAACAGATTCGCAGCCGTTGCATCCTTTGCTACAAGTACGGCCGCGTCCGCTATGAGGGTATTCGCAGCGGGACCTCTGTGGACTTACGGACTTACAACTTCACACACAACAAATCAAACTTTTTTCACAACAACACACTTCAAGTATTCCTTCGATACAAAAGTCATTTTTATTTATTTATTCAATACGCACAAGGCGTGCCATATTTGAAACGAAGAACGAAAATACATAGAGCATGAACAGTAAAAAGAAACTAACAAGACATCCCAAAAGCTTAAGTCCAGCTCCGTGAGTGGAAAGGGGTGCACTTGGATTATTTGGCGAATATTTGCGATTGCTGATCCCAAGCCTACCCTTCAACAGTACAGTTGCGATGCTTGTTATCAGAATGTGAAAGTTAGTGAGAATTTCTTGCAGAAAAACCATCAAAGGCAATAAGTGTGGTGAAATATGTCTCTTGGATCTTGCTTACGCTTGAAGTGAAGTTCCAAACATAATAGCGCAAGACCTTTCATAAATTAAATAAGCATGCCACCTATTCCAACTGCACAAGTCATAGCTTCAGGCGAAGGAAGGTCTAAAAGTTTTTGTAAATGCACAAGTCACGCTAAGAAAATTAGAAAGGAAACACCTTCAAAATGTTTCAAAATATGATTCTTTGTCCTTACTTTCTTCTCCATGCGTTTCCTTTTATCGAGTTTACGGCCATCACTCCTGTAGGTAAAAGTCTAACTACAAAATGCTTGGTGGCAATGCTATTGGAAGTTACTCCTAATATCTTCTGGCTTGCATTTCTAATCCGTAAAAACTTACCTTTTTTTGCTCTGACGTCTTCGATGTCTTCACTTGAAAAAGTCACCTTTTCGGCCCCGGTGTTTTGATTTGATTCCTTTGTGCAGTTGCTGTTATATGAGCAAAATTCAATATTCATGTGATCGCTTATCACGGATTTTTATGCGATATTGACTAGCCCATGCTTATCGCATGGGCTAGTCAATATCGCATAAAAATCCGTAGCATCACATGAATATACCTGTGTAAAGCGCTGGAGTATCGGGAATAGGTTGCATAGAAGTCGCTGTATAAAAGAGAAGCAATTAAAGCATACCTACTAACATAAGCTATGCAAGCGTTCTCTCTCTGCGGAAAAAGTCCTTGCATAGCCTATCACGTATGCTTAGTGACTATAGCTAGCATCTAGTCAATGTTAGAGACATACTACCTTACCATACGATTTCCCTGGAGAATGAGAGAGATAAATCCAAACAATCATGGTTACGCTTTGCAAATCATCCTTTTATCACACTGAGTTGATGGAAACAAAATAAACCGTATTTGCAGTGTAGATGATGAGAACTCAATTCTAGGGTAGAGTTAGGCGACCGGTAACTTAAACTTTGATACTTTCTTCGACTCTAATGGTAGAAAACTTTGAAAAGAGAAGGAACAATGGTTCAGAGGGTGAAGGTAAGAAAAAAGCAACAATGAATATGCCAGGTGAAACAACGCTTTTGAGAATGATGAACTCAGAATTTGCGTATAGTACATGAATCAGCGTTAGGTGCGAAAGAAAGTCAATGTCTTGACGTCCTCGTAGCTTGCTAGGCGCAGAACCTTAGACAAGAACCGCTTCTGCTCTAGAAACTGAAGTAGCAAATGAAAATGGACCAAACAAATAACACAACCATGTGACTTAAGCGGTCACTTTTTGAGGCCTCGCTCTCCCAAATGATGTCCTCGGCACCTCTGATCAGGAAACATGCGATATTTTGAGACTTCTTTATTGCAGACAGTCCGCTCATAGTTTAACGCTCTTAAAATTGTAAATAGGCTCAACGCGATAAGCAACACAAAACCTAAAATTTATCAAAACTACATATATGACACTCTCCTCGCGAATTGCTGGGACGCTCGCGAATTGCTGGTACGCATCACACAGATAAAAATCCAACGATGTTCTAAGACGAAGCAAAATTTCAAAGAAAACCGGAAACATGTGTGATAAAAATCGGAGACTGGGCTTCTTGGAAGCTTCTTACCTTTAGGTTTCGCTTCAAAATAGCCTTTCTGCAGATACCAGACGTGGCTCCAACTGCGGCAGAGTTTTCTTTACTCCATGCATGACAATGGCTACACTTTATCATTCAAAAGAGTTGGCGTTCTCACCAAGCCCTGCAGACTCGTACAGAAAACAAATTCCGCATAGGCCCGTTACACGACATCGCTTTCACCGGATATCGTCCAGCTCGCTCGCCTTTTTCCTTCGCACGATTTCATGAGTAGTGCCGAAATACAATCATATACAAGGCAGAGTTTCAGTGCCCACAGGAATGGTTTGAAAAATTCAAAAAAACTTACAGTTTGCAATCTGATGGACAACGCATCTTAGAAAGCTTGTCCTTTGTTCCTTTAGAGCGTGGCGGATCGCAGTTTCGAATGTTTTTGGTCAGAAATCGGATCTAGTTTCTTGCGTATAATTCAATGCGAGATATGTTATCACCGCCTCGTGTAAAATGAGTCGACTCCATCGGTATCGATTTTGCGTACGAACATTGTTTTCATGTCACTAAATTTCTGTAAGGGAAGAAGTAGGCAGGTCAGCACGTGAATTAAGCTCTCATTTCCAGGAAGTGAAGAGCTTTTCGATAGGTATTTAGCTTTGATGAAAGCGGTGGAACAGTCTCAGAATTAGTGAATGAGTGAGGGGACTGTCAATCAAATACACGGTAGTTTGATGGTCCCAACATTTAGAACAGAAGATATAGCAGGATAGTTGTGGCGCTGTGGCGCCAATGTGTTATTCTTTCCACGGCTGAGGTATTCTCTGCAGAGTCTTTTGATCATGATTCACTCTCAAATCAACTTTCCAAATCAGCTTTAGTGAAGGATATCATCGTCCTGGGCCAAAAGTGAGGGGTAATATGTCTTGCTTCCCTATCGCAACTATGCCTCCAATATCGACCTGACGAATGCAAGGCTCAGTAACAAAAGGTCTGTCTCAATAATTTCTACATCACGTGACAAGGAGAATGGGTCTTGTCTATTGTGCGCAGCTTTGTACTCAAACCAAACTTTCAAAGCTATAGAAATTAATGCACGTCTTTCCAACTAGCATTAGAGAGGTGTTGTTCATGCGCATAGCGCAGTGGTGCAACAAACCGTAACTTAAGGACAGGCATGCGAGTTGCCATTTCTCCTTTTCGAAACAGTTCCCTCAGTATAATGAAGGTTTGAGGATCCGCTCCAAGAAATAGTTGACCTCTCTTTCTTGAAAATTTTTAAGTACATCTTGTAATAAAATGCAAAAGTATCAATTTCACACGTAAGCATATATTTTACGTTACCTTGACTGCAGGTATCGAATCTTCCATAGTTGCTGCTACCCTTGGTTTGCGTCACTGACCTGCCGCATACGTGACCAATATGTTGGCAACATGCAGCAATATGTTGGCGCTGAGGCTGATAGTCAGAATGTTCTGCCAACATGTTGCACCTGTCAACATGTTAACTATAGGCTGGATTCGTATCGATCACGTTCAAGAGCAGTTTCACTACGGCGCACCATTCGAGCGCTGTGCCGGAATGTTCTGGAACTTACAGACCAATATAAACCCAGCCTTACGTGTGCAGGTCAGAGACAGAACAAAGGTGGAGGGAAGTGTGGAAGGGGTGATATAATCACTAATTTCCCTACATCAAGACGTCGCTTTCTTATGCATAACATGGCAAAAACAACAGATATCGATCAATAGCATAGAGCTACAATTCTTGCTTTCTGAAATGTGTGTGTACAAAATTAGCAGATCGATTTAAACTGATAAAAACAAAGGTAGAAAACTACAGACGCACAAACATGTAGAATGTTGGGATTGACTCATCAACCACTGTTTACTCGCCACATGTTTACTTTTTAGAGTGCAGTTATTCAAATACTCGGAGCTGCTCTACAACGTACGCTCCGTCACCACGAAGAGTTTGATGAATCCGCTGTCACAGTTGAAAACTCTCAGCATATTCGTCTTCTCTACCAGATTCGTGAAGTTCTTCAACGTCGCAACACTTTGCAGCACACTGCAAATACTACGGATGTACCTCGAACTCTTACGGCAACCACTTTTCCTACATCAGTTCAGCTCCAACAGCAAGATTCTCTATGCTCATCCAAAACTGCTGTCTGCAACAAGCATTGCGAAAGCTGCGAAAACAACCAGCAAAAGCTCCTATACCTTGCACAGTTGATGGAGAATATACGCATCGAACAGAGCAACTTGAACAAACTGGTCTCCCAGCATGATGTTGCGTCCGACGTCTACAAAGCTTCAACAGCGTCTTCCAATAAACCGACTCCAGCTCGCACAACAACTCAAGATGGAATTGCTGTGCGTATGTCAAAAACTACGGTTCGTGTTTATTACAATGCTACATATGCTTTCGTCCCATTTGAATTTCATTGATTCAAGGCTTCAACAATGTGACAATGAAATGAATTAGATCGAATGACCGAAGCGAGTATTCATTTTGAAGCAGTTCGTAGGGTGATGCACGCAATTTTGGCTCAATCGCCAAAGACCAAACAGCGCTGTTCTTTTGCACATTCCTGCAAGCATGAGAGCAGTACACTATGTAGACAGTCTTAACACGTTGACGACAAGTCATTTTTGAAAGTTCTGTCCCTGTGGACGAAACGTTTCCGTGCATCTCTACGCCTGCTGCATATATGTATGTATGTATACTAATATAATGTGCAAGCCCGTCCATGTGGCAAGCTCGGCCCATTCGACCAAAAACGTCGGAAATCGCCCAAATTCCAGAAATTCATGCGATTTTAGCAACTTTGAAAAGTGGGCGGAGCTTGCCAAAAGTGGCGGTGCTAATGATAAAATACATCAAATGTTAGTTATATGAACAAACTGAGAGTATTGGACAAATAGTACTTAAATTAAGACCGCCGGGCACCATTGCGCGGCGTCGCCCACAGGGACAGGCTGCCTACCGCGCATCGTTGCGCGGCACCTTAGCGTGTTAAAGGCAGGAATGGACCCCTGTCAATTTTTGGTAGTTTCAGGTAGTAGACCCCCCAAGTACACTGTAGCCCCAACCCCATATTTCAATCCAAGCGCCAAGTCCTGAAAAAAGCGCTTCAAATCACCACCAGCCTCGCCCACTTCCATTCAGTGGGCGTTAATGGTGGAATTTTGAGGCGCTTTTTTAGGACTTAGCGCATGAATTGGAAGGTGAGGTTAGGGCTACGGTGTACTTGGAGGGTCTACTACTCGAAACTACCAAAATCTGGCAGGGATCCACTCTGCTGATCTACTGCCTTTAAGCGATTGGGTGCAGAGTAGCGTAGACTACCATACTGCCTTCAACATGCTTTTATTTTCCATTTTAGGAGTCCGATTCATTCAAACTCGTTTTCATTGCACCAGGTCTACCTTGCGATTATAAGTGGTCCAAGTGCCAGCCACATGTTCAAACTAAAAAATTGAATTCTCAGAATCAATGCACAAAAAACGAATCTTGCTTCTCAGTCCATAGTAATACCCGCGCTAGTGATATGTTGCCACGAGCGTGGGCATACTAGCAAAAAAGAGTGCTCAGATGCTTTTAGTGCATTGGCGAATACACTATTTCAACTAACAAGGGAAGCGTGTGTAGTCGAAGTGGCCTTTTTAGATGAGACCCACACTGCTTTGAAGAGCAATAAGCGGTGACTTCAAATCTGCCTACCAAATCTGCCAATCACCTTTGGACGCCGAGTTATAGGCGTTTTTCGGGTCGAAAAATTGAACGCAAAGCTGGAACAAAATCGCCCAAATATTCTCAAATGATCCAGTGTCAAGTATCAGAGCCCTTTATGCAATGGATACATTTTATCTAGGATGCTAACACTTGACATTGCTTTATTTGAGCGCTGTAAAGACTGTAATAATCATTGCCAAAATTCTGCATTCATTTCGTTCCAAAAAACGGCCATAACTCGGCGTCCAGAGGCGCTTGGCAGATTTGGAAGGCAGATTTGAAATCATCGCTTAATACTCTTCAAAGCAGTATGGGTCTCATCTAAAAAGGCCACTTCGATTAAACACGCTTCCCTTGTAAGTTAAAGCATCAAGAAACGAGATAACAATCAGATAATAATTAAGAACATTTTCATTCTTTTTTCGTGTCAAACGGCGTCTTCATGTTCACAATTTATGTTTGTTAGAAGCTTGCACCACTTCAGGAAAAGTTGGAGGGTAATGATATAACTATGTCAGTGAAGATTTATATTCCATCTCCACCAGCGTACGTGTTGCATATTCTCTCTTCCTCACCTTTTTCTTGTCACATTGGGCCCGTTTTAGCGGCATCAAATGCAGCTATATTGGACGTCTTATTGGACCAAATGGAATTACTATCAGGGAATTGCAGCTAGAAACTCGTTGTCACATTGCTGTCCGAGGCCGAGGAAGCATCAAGGTAAGTTTTTTGAGTATATCCTGTAAGGAGTTGTATTGTTTTAGGATAGCAGACTGTTTCGGAAGATGCGTCACAAACCTGGATTTGGACACCTCAGAGAAGACACCCATGTTCTAGTTGAAGCGAAAGCTGCAAATCGCGCTGAGTAAGCTTGCGTTGCGAAAGCAGCCGCTTCAAAGCAGTCTAGACTCTTGTTTTCCAGATGTCGCTCATTAATCGAGAAGGCAAAAAAACGTATTTCGGATATGTTTACCCCGGAGTTTGATTCTCTTAAAAGAGAACAACTCATCCATCTGGCTATGTTGAATGGAACATATAGACAAAGCATTACATCAGCAAAACCTACGTGATACCATATAAGTATTACAGTTGCTTCGAAACCATATTCAGTTATTTGAGTAAATTTGTAAACAATTCTTCGTTTGCGACATTCTAAAGTAGCTCTAAGGAAGTGTGTTTTCATTGTTGTACACATTTCCATAAAGCTCCCCAAATTACCATATTGCCAACTAATGTCAAACACTCAGCCAATCATGAACGACGACGTCAACGTTTTTTTCCTTTTGATAAAGCCAGGATGGAAAAAATTTTGGATGATAAAAACTATGCAATGACTTTAGAGTGATTTTGTTTTAGTTACCAGGTATTTTGTTCTTGTAAGCCTATAGGTAATATTTACGAGACTTCAAATGAACTCTTTGGTCCAAATCTAGGGTCTCTAAATTAACGAACCTTGAAGGCAGGTAAGGTTAGGTCTGGGATCTCAGTGCCATGTCGAAACCATGATGCCAAACTAAAGGCGACAAACTCGCTCGAAAGAAGGTTAAGTAAACAAAAAGGCTGGAAATGACTTCTTGCCTAAATATTACTTTTTAACTCGAGATTAATGCTTGAATTAGCACAGCACCTGGGTAAAAATTCTTCTAGGTTATTCCTTAAATTCACAGCGTTTTTTATTTTTGTCGTCGCTCTCTTACGCTGTTGGCTTAAGCTGCTTGTACCATTCGAAATAGCAGATCTTGGTCCATGAGACCTTTTCCTTATTTTGAAAAGATTTCAATGTGATTGGTTTCCAGCTTCAAACGCATGACGGACAAAAATTGAGGAACTTTGGAGCCTGTAATTTTCGTATTTTGTCCGAATGCCACGAGAAAGTTCAGAGTGTGTATAGGCTGCTGCATGGCGAAGGCACAATATCTTTGAGTGCGGCTTTATTAGCCGCAGTGCGCATGGCGGAGGATTTACAACGGTCAGGATATGCGCGCGTCGCGTTCGCTCCCGCTCAACTAATACTGCTTCTGCGCTTTCGTCATGCAGTAGCCTTCGAAAAGGAGTTGCCTTATAGCCTTAAAAAGCTTATCAAGGTCTTTCTAAAAGCAAGCGAGCCACTATGCAAAGGATCTAAACGAGGTTGTAGTAGTAGCCGTTCCTAACTGTTGCAGCCTCATTTATAGCTGTTTTCCAAGAGAATGTTTCAGTCCTGCTACCGAATCTTCATCAATGAATAGCTTTGTCTTGATTGGTGTGAAGGTTAGACACAAAAAATCAATCATTAATTCAAAATTCCCAATTTTAGAATTCTATCAATATTTCTAAACACAAAACATCCATATATAAATTTAGTGGACGTGAGAATGTTTGTTGACAAAAAGCTGACCTGAATGCACCGCAGTTACTCGAGCACAAAAACTAAATCTACCGTAATTCCAGGGATCTCATATTTTCCTATATGGAGCGAAGATGCAGAAAGCAAAACTGACGCTTTCGCTAATCAAAACCGTAAAAAATTAAGATTAGTAAACATGTGTTGATTTCGAATCAATCTTTGAAAATTTTGAAATTTTGATGTGATAAGGAAGATCCTTTTGCCATGTTTACGTTTACTATCTTGCCGCCCAGCTTTGTTGTCCTAGAAAGTGAAACAACTATAAAAAATCAAATTTCATAATACGATAATCGCCTTTCTGATCAAATAGTGTTTGTTTGAATAGCCATTCAGGCTGCTTCTAATCACTTCTTTTGCAGAACTGATGATAGAAACGCGATTGACTAAATTTACTGGGGTTTGCAGGAAAACCGGTTAACTGTCAAAGTGTACTAAATCGGAAGAATACGAAATCCAAATAAAGTTCCAGGAACGACTCGATATATGTTCAAAGCATAGTTGAAGTCAAAGTTGTTACACTAAAATAATCATAGAAAGAAATACAAAGGGATAATGATTTCAGGGCATTTTCCGTTTTGGAAATGGGACAATTACGCAAAGTACCACATAAATATAATAGTTGTGCGGATAGAATGCTAAACAATGAGACTATTTTTGTGATTTTCCTGAAGTTTCATCTTTATGGAAAAAGAACTATGCTTCCTTTTTCTTTGCGCGTTCTGTAGCAAAGTGTCAGAACTATTTACATAAATTTTTAGAACCTTGCTTCCCCTTCCTCTTTGATTTCATCTTATCTGCAAAAATTTGGCTGTCTTCTTACCCTAGCTCTTAGCTGCAAGTTTGCGAAAATGCAGTAGAACTCAGCCTTTGACTGTATATTTTGTTTCCAGAGGCTTTCCATAATACCAGAATCTTACTGAGTGTAAAGATCAGATTTTTGTTCAAAGTTGAGGGCTTAGATCAAATCTCAAAGATGATGTTCCACTCGACAGTTGATGACAACAAGGTGAACCAGCGTGCTCTTTTGACTCTTCGCCATCAACAACTAGATCAGATACTTACCTGGAACAGCAGGCGTTCCTCTCAACAATTTACAACTTCCCGGTATGCTGCAGGTGATCGTGACGATGTTGATTGTTTTTAAACCTTTGCTGTTTATCTATCACTTCCTGGAACTGAAGATGAAACCCTGTTCTAAGTCTGACTATGTTTCTACAATGAATTCCAGCTTCTATCTCAGATTGACCGGCAGCATGTCTTGTGTACTATTGATTTTGCCCAATTTCTACATATTTACTTTCCTATACTTCATGTCATGAGAAACAGCCTCATGAGTTTCATTTGTAGATAAGGGTTTTCAGATTTGTTAGTCATAATTGAACAATCATGGACCAAAATGTCGTTTCTTCTGGCTGATCAATGCTTGCGATCGCAGAAAACGGTGAAATGTGAAGGTGGGAGAGGGGCTCACGAAAATGTCCAACAAAGTTTTCAAATGCCTTTTACGGTTTGCAGAATAGTATGTTATTACAACCAGCCCGTAAAGATTCAACTAAAGATAGTGGATAAATCTTCAATTCACTTTCTGGTAAATTTCAAGGTTTTGAACTTATTTAGATCGCTTTTAAAAAAATTTGAAAGAGAATACCTAACACTTGCCTCACGATCAGAAGATCATTCTATGGCTTCTCTTCTTCAAAGAAATATAATTTATGCGTGTGCCACTGTTAAGAGGTCAATGGTAATTTAGCTCAACACAGCTTGCTAAAACAGACCTTAAATGAAGACAGCCCACCCACCTTTTCCTCCATTTTTTAGCCTCTCGTTGTGCTTTTTCTCATCCCATGAGTTTTGGAACATATCCCGGTTTGTGCTCCTATTCAGGCGGTCTGCCAGTTCTACCTTTCTGAAAGTCAAGAGGATTGAAATCGTCAAAAATCCGAAAAATTTCCAGAAACTTTTCGTTTTGTACATCGTGTGCAGAATGATACAAAAATCTGAAAATAATTTCCAATATCAAAAAATTTCTGGTTGAAATGTCAGTAAAATCTAAATGCCTAATAGAAATGGTACTCAACAATAATTGGCATTTTCAAAATTGCTTTGATTTGAGTCAGAATGCACTACAGGCATGCTGCGGGACAAGTACATGGTGCAATCGTTGTACAATAGTTAACTCGATTCTGATAAATGATGCATTTTCAAAGAAAGCATTCTCCCTTCATACGCGTTGAATGTACATGAATGAAATCTTGGAGGGAATTCAATGGCGTATGTCAATATGACGAGATTTGAACTCAAACGCGACTGTGAAGGGAGATTTCATTTTATCGTCAAAAAGTGCCGCGCACTATAGACCAGCGGATGCTTGATGATTACCGGGGCCAGTTCCCTCGCCCCTCTATGCAAAATTGGCACATTTTGACGTCCATCACTAGAAGCAATGCACTTTCATTGAATGCCAAAGCAGAAAATGAATTCCTAAGAAACTTCGAGGTTGAAAGAAGTTATGGAGTGATTGTGTTGTCCATTAGCCAATTGAACTTTATAAAAAAATTATGGATAAAAGTGAATTTTTGTGATAGTACATAGTATTCTATCGCCAGACGGGGCTCTTACATCAATACCTAATGTAAGTAATGAATTTTCGACGATGGTTGCTTCACGAGCTCTCTATAGTGTCGCATAGTGTTTGCATTTTTCAAATGTAAATAGATATTAGGATGCCTTAAATGTAACTCCTTTTAAATAATTAAGCTGTTTTTGTTTTACTAGTCTTGGAATATCGTTCGAAAGAGCAGATCAAGCTCTACAAAATGACTACCAAAGATCTGCCTAATTCGCATTCTGTGCAAAGTCTGAAGCCAAAAAAATTTTGTCACTTGAAAACTGGCTTTGCGAAAAATTCTACGTACCTCCAACTTGGTCACTATACCTTAGGCACGCAGTAGCACTCACATATGCCTTTACTGGATTTTTCTGCGCATGGAAAGCGAGACAAATAATCCAAAGGGCAAAGTCCGCCCCAGCCCCTCCCACATTGCATACTATAAGCCTTACTATCAGTAAGTATGATCTCAAAACCTTACCTCTGTATGTGCTCTTATAATCGAGAAATACCAACTTTTACATGAAAAACCCAAAAAGTGGAATTCTGGCATTTCGGACCATCCTTGTCTCTCAGCTTTGGGCCCGAAAAAGTTCACAATATATTTTTGGGTACTATTGTGTGTCTACTATATAAGGACAAAGTTGTAAGTTCGTAGGATTTTTCTTGAAGGAGATTCGATTTCAAGGGTAGCAAAAAAAATTGATTTTTGGCTCCAGTTTTTACCTGGATTACGACTTAGGTGGATCTTTGGTGGTCTTTTTGTAAATCTTGCCCCGCTCTATCAAACGGTATCCTAAGGCTAATAGGAAAACAAAAACAGCTCAATATATTTGGTGTTTACTTTTGGGACAAACTAATAAAAGCATGTAATGGCGAGCAGTGATCGCTAGCCTGGTCTGCAAACCCATAGTACGTATGTGAGACTTGCAACATCCGAGTTGCACTGGCTGCACCTATCTGCACCAAGATTTCACTTTTCTACTAGATATACGACCGAATGAAGAAGTTTGATTAACAACAGCAACATCTGTCACTAAAAAAGTTGGGATTGCTGACTCAAGAAAGAACAAAGAATTCTCTGCAGGAGAGATTTGCAGAAACAAGTAGAGTCAAGGAGCTTAGATGTTTTGCAGCGAGAAGTGTTGCGTATCA